GCAAACTGGTAGGTATTTCTGCGTACAAATATTTTCACTAGACGATTAATTTTGTGAGAAGAAAGTCCTTTATGGGAGTAGTGGAAAAGAAGACGACGAGCGGATGTGGTAAAACCCTGATATGAGGATTCAGTAACCAAGTACCTATTGAGCTAACTATAAATGATACCGTTCTGGACAGAGGGGTGTAAATTGCTACGAAGAGAGGAGTATTTAATGATAGGAAAAGTGAAAAGACCAGTCTTACAGTAAAGTGAAGAGACAATGCGAGCACTGCAGTCTATGGAAAGGGTCAAGTTCAAGTAGTTGACAGTGGTACCCAAACCTGTGCAATCTATGTCTAGGTCCTGGCCATATATGTTTAGGCGAAGGGAAGAAAAGTCCGAGCAGTTGAGAACTAAAATGTCATCGACATATCGACGGAAGAGAAGCGGGGGGCTAGTAGGAAGTCTGCTGTATTTAAATTCAAGTACTGACAAAGTGAGGTCGGCAATGTCGGAACTAGCATTGCCACCCATGGGGAGTCTGCACCGCTTCTAGGTCTGCATCGCTTATCTGCAGCTATGATGCAGGTATAGTAAGACTTTTGCATCACCTGTGTTTTGATGCTTTAATTTTCAGACCCACCTGCGTACTTCGTGTTTTGAGCTGCTCCAACATCCCTCTTATTTCGCAGGGACTGTTTACAGTAAGAAGTCTGTTTCATTCGGAATGAGCAATTAATTTAGCTGCTTGTCACTGACCTTTAAGACATATTTCCAGTCCATTTTCCAAAATATCAAGTTCTCGAGCCAGGTAATGAAAACGTTGCGCGGTATGAGATCACCTTATCTCACTTTCCTTGCGATCAGTATGCAGATTGGAGTAGAAAAGAGTGTTACGTTTGTAGAGCGGCCTATGTTCACTTCCTCAGTTACTTTCGCATAATTTCACATTGTTTATATGTATAAACAGTGTGAAAGTTATGAAGTGTACACATATCCAAATGACTTTTCTATCATAAATTATATATTAATTCAAATTACTACGGTTATAGCGGGTAATCTCAATTTATTATGATTATTACTAGCAAATAAAGTTCTTAATTTTAAGGAAAGAAGCTGGAAACTAGAAACTTCTCAGATGTCAAGGCTTATTCTGGAGGTGTATGAAAATGTAGTTTTTGGTCTCATCGTTCTAGAAAGTTGTCTTGTCATTTCGATCTCTAAATTCTCGTTGCTGATCGGTTTCAGTGCCCTCGTCACAATAAAAAATTATTAGAAAGTTTTGAATTGGCGATACAAAGCAATCTCGATTTTAATTCTTCTAAAAAAAGGACACTGTTTATATGACCTTTTCAGGACGGATCTGACACCACATAAAAAATCTGGCCGAAGTTCATGGTTTTTGTGAAATAATTAAAATGGGGAACTGTAGCTGACTACCTTCGGATCTGTTTACTTTTGCTGGTTTAAAATGTTTAATCAGGTGTTTTGGCAGGATTTTCAGCAATTTTCTGGAGGAACTTATTGGCGACCGTTATCTTTTTTTCTTTTCATGCAGAAATAGATAATTTAACAAATGCTCCCCGTACTGGTTAATGTTCTTGTTTTGACTAAATAATTCGTAAGGAAACGCGGAACAAATTATTTTCTTGATTAACGTGGCGCAACATTAAACTTTAACGAGAAGTCCACAGTTCAATAAACAAAAAAAGCACAGAACCACACTGGGATGCCGAAGAACAAAAGCGAAGTTTTCATCTGCCAAACTTAGCACTTGCTCAAGTATCAAATGGTTGTGTCATTCCTTTTTTCTTGACGACCCTTGCATATTTTCTTCCCCGTTTGATCAAGAACCAGTTGCTTCACTTACCTCTCCTCCCGCGCTCATTCCCTTGCCCCGACATATATTAGTACAAATACTTCATAGAACATTCTTTGAAACTTCCGAAAAAAGAATACATTATTTTTATCACTTTGCGTGTCCCATGACAGCCCACCAAAAATATCTTCGATAATTCCGCAAGCGAGCAGTAAAAAAAGAACGTTCACTTTGCATTTGGGAAACCATTAACAGCGGTAGAATAAGTTGCTAAAATTTTAGCTTCCTAGCCTCATTAGTTCTGCAAATCAAATTATGCAGGCTGATACAGACATACATGAAATGTTTCTTTTGCATTATTGATGATATGCAAAAAAAAAAAAATATGTAAAAATATGCAAAAACGCATGATTGCACGGGCTGGCCCGTGCGATCGTGCGTTTTTGCAGTACTTTGTATTGTTGTTGTAAGACCAATTGAAATCACAAAAGCTAGGATTTATGACATAGTGGTTCTCGAACTTCAGGAAGTTAATCCAGCTACCATGTGTACTTGGAAAGGGGAAATTCTGTTAAAACTTCAGCATCCCAGCTTTGCTGGTTTCCGAGTAAAATTTCAGCATCCCAGTTTTCCTAGCGATTTTCCTGCCAAAAATTTTCGTGGATCGTATGTGAGAGCCGCGCAATCCTGGGAGCTGAATTTAAATTCTTTAAGTTGTGCATGGGCTGGGAACATTTCCTTAAAATTTCAGTCCCCAACTGGTTCCTGAACTGGCGACTTTCCCACCAAAAAGTTTCATGCGCTCGTATGCGGGGCCCAGACGTGAATGAGGGTTGGTACCGCGGCACTGGGTAGCACTTGGCCAGGGAAGCTACTGACAAAATTTTGGCGCCGGAGCTTGCTTGGTTGGCGAGTTGAAATACCCGGACAAACACACAGACACATACACATACATCGGGTCGTCACAATATATGCGTTTTTGCATTTGCATGTAATGTAAAAACGCATAATTAGTTAAACTGTTCAGCCAAAACTAAACGAAAAGCGATCAGTAAGTTCAGAAAAATGACGTGTGCGACACAATTATTTGGTAAGGAGTGCGCTCTTTTAGGAATAATGTGTTCAAAGCACTTCTCATGTACAGTGCATTGGCGCCATTTTTCTAAACAGCCATCACTTTCTGCCTGAAGTAAAAAGGGGGTGATCGAGCGGAATAGATAAGTCGAAAATTTGTTGCCTGAAAAAGAGGGAATGGTACGTAATTTACCATTCGTCTCCTTCAATATCATGTCCCACCAGATAGTGGCGGTTAAGCAAATGCAGAAGGTACCCAGTCGATGCTGTAGCAGGTAACGTATGAAAAAAAGTGAACAAAACAAGCAATTCGACCAAATGGATACATTTCAGCGAGGAAAGGCATATTGTGCAACACTATAAGTGGTCCAGTTGGCCTGATCGCTCAGCACCAATAAACCCATCACCGCTTATCGAACTGATCACGAAGTTGCGGCCGTTGCATGAGAAGGGTCCAGTGGCAGTTCACTGCTCAGCAGGGATTGGCAGAACTGGAACATTTTGCGCCGTGGATTACTCTATTGATCGACTTAACGATGAGGGGATTATTAATGCACCCGAAGTTTGCTTTTGGGATGAGTAATTTCACGCTGCATGAACGCAGCTGGACAGACTGTCTATCTGGTCTTTTCAGGCTTTAAACTGTCTAGTTTTTTGTCTATTTTTCCACAGCTTTCTTAAGAAAGAACGTGAGATATTTGAGGAGTCATGTCTTTAGCCACTCCAACAGCTAATCGGCGCATTTAATTAGCATGTGATAGAAAAGAGCAAAATGAGTGCATGAACAAACTCTTGTTAATAAGCTATTGGCACAAAGCCAGATTGTTGATAAGTACTTCCAAAGAGGAACAGCTGCAAAAACACATTTGCTGCGCAGCTGTGTCCCAGTATGGTCTTTGATTTTGCACTGTTGTCTGGGTGATCTTGACGTCTGCATCTTCCAAGGTGCATCTGCATGACTATTTGGTACAGAACAGAGGTAGTTATGCGTTTTATTGTGGATGACCACACTGATGACGAGATGTGCGCAGTGCTGTCAAGGCCTGATGCTTTGAAAGGGGTAGCCATGTCGTCATAGGCGATGGCTTATTGCTGTTTAACAGTGAAAATTATCTTCGTGAATGTGTCTGAAAGCGGAAACAACACTTGATTTCGCGCATGTCATTTTTTATTAGAAGAACCGAGTCGATGCGTAAGCCGCCACGTACTCAGCTGCGCACGAAGAAATGAGCACACTCAATTTCGTTTGACCAAAACGAAGGTGGTATCTGACTTCGGGATTTAGTAATCTGCAACAAAATTTTTTGCATTTTATTACTGTTATGACTCGGTGCAGTCTGACAGAACTGTTTCGCCAAGACTATTAAATTTGAGAACTGCCTCACCTACACAATTTCTGCTTTTCCCCCTTTTAGCGATTTGTTCGGGAAAAGTTCGCGTCTTAAGTCTTTTGCAGGACCTCACGCGACAAATTCTGGTGCCATTACAAGTCACTAGAGCGGTCAGTGTGGAGCTCCGATGTTTCAAAGTTCGGCCGCATGCCAAAATTACGTTTATTAAGGCTCTTCCTTAAAAAACGTGAACGTCGTCTCTGTTGAAAGCAAAAGGAAGCGCACAAACTTCAGCAAGAAAAGTAATAAAGCTGTTTCTTCATTACTTTTCTTGCTGAATTTTGTGCGCCTCCTTTTGCTTTCAACAGAGACGACGTTGCCGTTCTATTTTCTTTTCTCTAAGATCTTCGCTGCGCTCCCTGCCTTAATTAAGCTGAGGCTCGTCCATTAGTACACAGATATGATCATTTACAAAAGCCAAATGGCAGTTATGCGTGACAGAAAGTGAAAAGATTTAAACACAGGCTGGGATGCGTATCGTTAAGCATAGCGCTGAAACGATAGATGACCAGATGGGTAATGCGACAAGTTAAATCCAGAGTTTGTTTTACAGGTAGTGAAAGAGGTTCGCGCACAACGCCTTCATTCGGTGCAGTCGGTGCTACAGTATCTGTTCCTGCATCTGTGCCTCATTGAGTATTTGGTGTCCGCAAAAACATTGCAGCGTGATCATTTAGTTAAAAAATTCCAACGCGATTACGAGAAATACTTGAAAAAATTCAATGAACGTCTTGCAAAAGAAAAATAAATAGCGGCGCGCGCCAGGATAGCCAGTGCAGTAATGCGTTTTGCGCAGTTTCGACCAGCAAACGTTTGCCTCCTAAGGATTTTCATCGTTTTGCAATTTGTTCTATGAAAAAATAGTCGACATGTTGTTTGTTTTCTAAGCTGCGAAATTTCTTATTAAACATTTTACGTACCAGTATGTGAAACACAAACATACGTGAAAGCTGAATTTGAAATCTTGGACACCGAACATAAATTGAAATTTCTGGCTTCCGAGTAACTCGCGCCAAAAGTTTCATGTGATCGAACGTGAAACTTCGTCATGCTTGAGAGCTATGTTTGAGTTTGTTAGGCCCTGCATAAGAAGAAAAAATTCTCCTGGGATTTTCGGCCCTCCAACTTTTCTTGCTCCCGAGATAATGGTTTCTCCCGCCAAAACACTCACGGGACTGTAAGTGGGACTCAGGCCTGCGTGAAAGCTAAATTGAGCCTACGCACCCCTACGTGGGCAGGGGACATCATCCCAAAATATTTGCCTTCCATCTTTCTCGATCCCCGAGATAATAATTTCCCCGCCAAAACTTTCGCGGGGTCATGCGTGGTACCTGGAGGTAGGTTTAGGCTGAATTCAAATTTGGGGGTTGCAGTTAAACGGGAAACAGTCTGTTAAAATTTCAGCTTCTCGGCTTTTTTGATTCCTGAGAATAATATTCGAGAGTACCATGCATGATCCCCTTTAAAACTGAGCGGGCGCACTTGGGCAGGGAGAATCCTGTTAAAGTTTCAGCTTCCTTGCTTCTCTGGTTCCCGATTTGAAACCACCGGATAAAATGCAGTCAGAACACACACACACACTCACACACACACACACACACACAGGCACACACACACACATACACATACTGACAGGATCTTGGCAATATGCTTGTGTAACTGCTGCAGCACAGAACGCATAATAAAACAATTGGCCAACGCACGCCTGTGCGAAGACGCGCTTTTTGCGTAGCTCCCCGCAGATTTTTGTCACTAACGGCACTGGTTTTTCCGGCAGATGCTTCTAGCTAAAAGAATTTCAGACTGGCCGCCAGGACTGACAGGAAATATCT